CACTGCTGAGGGGAGCAGCGGGCGGCAGGAGAGGTCTGCGCGCCATGTGGGACCCTCCTCCAGTGGCCCGGGAGCAGCCGGGGATCGAACCAGCGCTGCAGAGGCCACGGGCAGCTTTGCAACCCAGCGCTCAACCACTGCGCCACTGGGGAGGCCCTTGATTCAGTGAATTTTAAAGAAACACAGATACCTTAGAAAGAGAAACACATCAAACTGCACACACAGTATCATGAGACTATCATTGCTCCGGGTCATGCCAGAATTTAAATTGTTGAACAAACCTCAGAAAAACTGGAACTTGAATGTTGAGTTCAACTGGGCAGCTGTCAATGTATTCGTCACCAGCCCCAAAGTCATCAGATGGTTTCCATCACCTCCAGGGCTGAATGGATCAGATTCACTTTTAGCTCCAGAAACGCCAAATGCCTCAGAGTTCAAGGCAAAGGGAGCTGTGCATCTTTCCTGCACCCACACCCGACCTGCGCAGGGCCGGCCGCATCTCCACTGAACTCTGCCTTGCCGGCTGCGGCTGGCGAGAGGTCCCTGAGGAAGCCGGCTTCGAGCTTGGTGCAGGCACCAAACCCTGGAGACAGTCCAGCTCGAGGCACACTTTCCAGGCACAGTGATTTTCTCCTGTTACTTGCAGCAAAATGAGCAGATTCAAATCAGATCCCACTGCTGCCTTCACGGTGGGGGAGAGGGGGGCAGTGAGGAAGAAGGGGGCCCCAAGTGCCAGGTGGTGGCCCTGGGCAGGCAGGGTCTGGCAAGACTTGAGGTGGGGGAAAGAGGGGGTGTGTGGAAGCACAATCTTGCCCGGAGCTGTCACAGTGGGGGGGAGGGCAGGGAACGGAAGGCAGAGCCCCTGTGCAGAGAGCCCCAAGGGGGCCAGCACTGCTCGCGTTCTGGGCAGAATGTTCTTGGGGCACGTCCTGTCAGGGGGTGCGCCAGGCACACATCCTGCAGACGTCCCAGGGGCCTCGGAAGGCAGGCAAGACCTTCAGAATAGGAGCTGGGTGCAGACTTGGCACTGACTGGCCATGGGGCCACCCACCCGGCAAGCACAACTCCTGGCCTGCCGCATACGTGCATGTGCCCATACACGCACACACACGCGTGTGGCCACCTGGGCTGGGTTTCCCCCATCAGGCGCGTGGATGTGGAGGCACCGAGGCTCCTGTCTCATCTAGTCCTTGAACACACTCATCCCTGTAGAGCACATTATTAAAATCCTCTTTCCACAGCAAGTGCCTTTGGTGTACCCCCTAGAAGCCGAGACTAGCGGTTTCCCACAGCTGTGAGCCGCACCCCGTGTCCTGTTCAATCCTGGGGGGCTTCGTTGCCAGCTTGGGCTGGGCTCGTGCAGTCCAGATTGAGGCTGAAGTCCCCTGTTTCCTTCGCTCCCTGGTGGGGCTGGCAGGGCAGTGCGCCCACCCTGGTGTCCTCCAGGCCCGCCACGCTGCTGGAGGCTTTGAAGAGTTAAAGGGCAAGACTTCATCGCCGCAGGTCATCCAGAAACAGACGCCTGCACCTTAAAATGGAGAAAACAAGCTCATTGGGGGTCCCCAAGTTCACTGGGTGGGTCCTTCGTGGGTGTGGCAGAAAGCCCTCGGGACTTTTGCGGGGGTCTCCTGGGTTAATGCCACTCACATCTCCGAACGCCCTATCCTGCCAACTCGCGCAGAGATAACCCACAAACGGCGGCCAGCAGAGCGTCCTGCGTGAGGGGCCGCCCCAACACAGGGGCCTGCCCGCCCCCGAGAGCCCGCCTCCCAGGCGGACCTCAGGCCAGGCCCGGGAAGAGCTGGCGGGGGTGCTGCCTGCAAAGAGGTTGTCCCGCACTTTTGCCCACACCCAGCTCGCCCACGGTCTGGAGGCCCCGAAGAATCCTCGCCCAACCTCGGCGGAGCAGGCCCCGCGTGCCGCCAGCCGGCCCGGCGCGGCTCGGCTCGGCCAACAAGTGCTCGGCCCGGGCCGGGCGCGGTGCAGTGCGGGCTCTGGCCGGCGGCCCGCGCCCCCTCCGCCCGCCCCTCCGGGAGGCGCCCCCGCCGGCCGCGCGGACCCGGGTCCAGCAGCCGCGCTGTCCGCAGGGCCCGGCCCGGGGATGCCCTGAAGGGCGTCGGCGCTCGGCCTCTCGCGTGGCTGGGACACTGCAGTGAATTCTACCGGGAACCTCCTGCACTTTGCCCGACGTGGACTCAGGCGGGGCCGGCAGCTGTCGGGCCGACGCCGCCACCCGCTGCGGGGACCCCGCGCCGCGCCGCGGGCCGGGCCGGGCCTGCGCCCCTCGCCGCCGAGAGCCACGCGCGGCCCGTGCGAGGGAGGAAGGCTACACTTCGGGTACCGCGATTTGGCACTTTGCAGTACAGAGTGTAGAGGTGTGAGTGATTTCATGTGTATAAAGAGTCTAAAGAAATGATCAGAAATGAGTGAATTCAAGAAGTACATCTTAAATGTACAATGGCATGACTTTAAACGATGCCTATGTGCAAATATGCACTTGCTTTTTTTTCTTTTTTTTTTTTTACTTTTTTAAAAAGATTTTATTTATGCATACAAGAGCTGGTGAACAGGCCAGAGGCGTGGGAGGATTCACCAGAGACGGAATGGGGAGCAGAACAGGCAGACTGACTGAAATACACTGCTGAGGGGAGCAGCAGGCGAGGCAGGAGAGGTCTGCCGCGCCATGTGGGCATCTCCCTGACGGGCCGGGAATCAACCCAGTGTTTCAGAGGCTGTGGACAGATTCAACCAGCTGCGCCACCAGGGAGGCCCCAAATATGCACTTTAAACAACATTTTTTAAAGATTATTTATGCATACAAGAACTGGGGTACAGGCCACAGGTTGGGGAGGGTGAGAGGATTAACCAAAGGCAGAGTGGGGAGCAGAACAGGTGGATTGACTGAAATTGCTGAGAGGAGCAGCTGGTGAGGCAGGAGAGATCTGCTGTGCCATGTGGGTCCTTGGCTGGGGATCAAACTCATGCTGCAGTAGTTGCAGATAGCTTCATGGTGCTGACGCTCAACCCCTTGTACCCCCAGGGAGGTGTAAATGTTTTTCATATGACATGAGGTGAGAAAAGCAGATTGCAAACTGAATAAGCAGCACGATTGCAATACTGGAAAGTGTGTGTTTACAGCTATGGGAGCAACCCAAATGCCCAAAAATAGATGACTGGATCAAGAAGATGTGGTACATGTACACAATGGAATATTACTCAGCAATCAAAAAAGATGAACTCATGACATTTGCAGCAACATGGATGGAGTTGCTCAGCGAAATAAACCAAAAAGAAAAAGAAAAATACCGGGAGGTCTCATTTATAGCAGGAATGTAAAAGACCCGAATAAAGGATCAGGAAAAAAAACTAATTATAATAAAGTAAAAATCAAAATAAACAGGGAGAGCAACCTTGTCCCTCCCTGGCCTGGCTCCACCAGCCTGGGAGTCCGACTTTATTTCTGTTCTTTTTCTCCCTAATAAACTTTTTCTTTCTCTAAACAAGAAGAAAAAAATCGGCAGACAACTATAAACCAAAAACATACTACAGGGGGTGGAAGGGAGTAGGATCAAAACAAGGGTCGTGGGAATTTCACAGGGACTATAACCAAGATGAAAATGCATACACTGTACAAAAGTGAAAAATGATGTAAAAAAATACATAACATAAAAAAATAAAATAAAGTGTGTGCTTACATATACAATAAGTAAAATACACCAAAGGTTAAGAGTTGGTACTGAGTAGTGTGATTCTGGGCCACTTTAACTCTTGTGCTTCTTTGCGTTTTCCAGATTTTTTTTAAAAGATTATTTTTATACAAGAACTGGGGTACAGGCTAGAGGTGCAGGAGGGTGAGAGGACTCACCAGAGACAGAGCGGGGAGCAGAACAGGCAGACTGACTGAAATACACTGCTGAGGGGAGCGGCGGGGAGACGGGAGAGGTCTGCCGCGCCATGTGGGTATCTCACGGGCCGGCCGGGCTCAAACCCGCGCTGCAGAGGCTGCGGCAGCTTCACAGCGCTGCGCCCCACGCGCTGCGCCACCGGGGAGGCCGTGTATTTTCCAGATTTCTTTGAGTAAATTTATAATCACAAAACTCACTATGTAATTAATTACATGCGAATGGGCAGCACACTGGACAGCAGCCTGAGAAAGCCTGTGTGGTCTTAGCGTTTTCACAGACCTCGGGGCGGCCCGCGCCCGAGCCGTCGAGGGACCCCGGGGCGGGCCCTTCCCGCCAGCGGCCCGCAGGCCTCCCGCCCCTCCGCTCCCGGGCAGCGGCGCGCGGGCGCGGCCGACGGGCCAGGCCTCGGTCTCGGGGCGCCCGGGCGCCAGGGCCTCCGCCCAGCCCAGCCCGGCCCAGCCCGGCCCGCGGCCGGCCGGCGGGGCGGGGAGCCCGCGAGGAGGCGCGCGCCGCGGCGGGAGGAGGCGCCGGCCCGGGGGCCCCGACTGCGCCGCGCGAGCGCTCCCCTGCGGGGGGCCCGGGGCTCCGCGGCTCCTCGGGCGCGGGGTGAGGCGGGGGCGCCGGGCGAGGCGGGGGCGCCGGGGCGCGGGGAGCAGGGACCCGAGCGCCGCGGCTCCGCAGGCTGCGGGCGCGACCGGGCGTCGGGGCGGGTCTCGGGGCGCGGGAGGCGGGTCCTCGGGGCGCGGGAGGCGGGTCCTCGGGGCGGGCCTCGGGGCGCGGGAGGCGGGTCCTCGGGGCGCGGGAGGCGGGTCCTGGGGCGCGGGGCGGGTCTCGGGGCGCGCGGCGGGCGCGGGCGCGGACGCGGGGCGAGGCTCGGGGCGCGGGGCGGGTCTCGGGGGCGGGGCGGGCGCGGGCCCTGGGGCCGAGGGGCGGGTCCTGGGGCGGCGCGCGCCGGCGTCCCCCCTCCTCGCGCGGCCCCCGAGTCCCCAGGCGCGCGGCCGGCGCTGCGCGGGCGTCTCTCGGAGCAGCCGGCGCCGGGCGAGCGGGGCCGGGCCGGGCCGGGCCGGGGGCCTCGGCGGCGGCGCCGCCCCACGTCCTCCGCAGCCCGAGCGCGGAGCGAGGCCGGGCCGGGCGGGCCGGCCGGAGCCATGAACCGGAGCTTCCACAAGTCCCAGAGCCTGCGCTTCTGCGACGGCGGCGCCGTGGAAGTCAAGAGCAAGGTGAGGCCGCCGCGGGAATGAATGGGCCCGCGCGGGCCGGGCCGGGCGCCCCAGGTCCGCGGGCGGGACCCTCGCGGAGCGGCTCTTTGTTCCACGCGCGGGAGCGCTCGGCGCGCCGGCCGCGGGGGGCGGCGTTTCCGGGGCGACCGGGCCGCGGGCTTCGGGGCCGAGGGGCGCCCGACCCAGCCCCGCCGGCCGCGGCCCCCGCCCAGGCCGGCCCCGGCGCGCCCGGCCGGCGCCCCTCCCGCCCCTCCCGCGCCTCCCGCGCCTCCCGCGCTCCCGGAGCGTGCCCCGACCTGCCGGGCGCCGGGCTCGGGCCGCGCGCTGGCGCTTCTGCCCCTCGCGGGGGCGGCGCCCTCGCGGCGGGCGCTTTGTCTGCGCGTCCGGGCGGCCCCGCGGGCAGAGGGGCGCGGGGCTCGGCTCCGCAGGGGGGGCTCGGCGGCTGCCGGGGAGCCGGGGCTCTCGCCCGGCCTCCGCTCCCGCCCCGGGCCTCCGCCCCCCACCGTGCGGCCTGGGGCGCGCGCGGGCTGCGGGGGGCTCCGGGGCCCCCGCCCAGTGTGTCGGGGCCGCCGGTCGGTCGGGGTCAGCCCTCCCGTGCAGGTCCGGGGGCGTCCCTGGGAAGAAGGGGGCCCCTCGCCAGAGGCAGGTCCGAGCGCGGCAGGATCTCTGTCCCCTTGGGGCGCAGTCTTGCCATCACCCCTCACTTCTCCTCAGATCGCAGCCTGCGCCAGGGCGCCCCTGGGGCCCTCGTGCCGGAGCGGCCGGCCGCGGGGCAGCAGCGCTCAGGCCGCTGTCCCCGCCGAGGACGGAGGCGATGCGCGTTAAGCACCCCCTGCCCCTTGACGGACCGTCGCTTCACAGACGCCGCCAGGAAGGACAGCGCCCCGCCCGCGGCAGCACCTCCGTCCCGGCAGCCGCGCAGGGCCTGCCCGCCCCCAGGGCCACAGGTGCCCGCACAGTGGCCTCCAGGGGGCCGGGGTCTGCCTCCTGGCTTGTCCTGCCGCAGCGCAGGCCCCAGAGCCGCAGCAAAGCCTCCTCTTTCTCCCTGGCGCCCGCCTTCTCCTGCTCCCCGTGAAGATTTAAGTTCAGAGGCCGCGAACGGGCCCCAGGCTGGGTGGCTGAACTGGGAGCATGGAGGAGAGGCCACGCCATCCCGGCCCTGCTGGCCGGCCCCTCCCTGCCCTTCTGACGCTGCAGACGGAGGGTCCCGTGCTCTTCCCTGTGCAGCCACCTCCCGGCCCCATAGTTGCAGCTCCTCGGGAGTCTCACTCCAGTTGCTGTGGCCACCACACTGGAGGCCAACCTTGACAGTGGGGTTTTCTTTGGCCTGTACTCGGGGCTTCCACGTGGGGAGCGATTCGAGGGCAGCAGTTCTGCCCTAAAACCTGTGGGAGCTTTCAGGCCCTCTCCTGCTTCTCTGGTCTGTGCAGCTGCCGGCCCCTGCCCCAGACCCAGCAGTGGCCAGGCGGGGCCTGCCGGGAACCCTGGACGGACAAGGCAGGCCACTTCACGTTGGTGGCCCGCACAGCCTCTGACCCTCCCCGAAGCTCAGGTATTAGCCAACTGCTGGGCAGTTCCCAGAGCCATGGGGACCTGGGCCTGACCTGGCGGGCCTGCCCAGTCACGTGGGCCCTGCACTTGCCCAAAGCTTTACTTCAGCACCTGTGGCTCCTCGCTGCCTCCCCACCAGCGCCGACCTCTGACTTCCCAGTTCTGCTGACGGGTCACTTCCCATCCTCTCCCTGCTGACCTTTGACGTTTGTCTCTGCCTTTGAGACCCGCAGTGGACGCATTCGGAGTCGGGTGACAATGTATCAGGCCCAGCCGAGGGGTGGCAGCAAGGCCAGTGCTGGCAAGGCTTCTGCGAGGCGGTCATGGGGGGCTGCCTCTGAGGGGAGATGGCACAAGGCCTTTGACCACCAGCACACGCTCAGTGGCCCCACTCGGGGGGCTCTGCCCCACAGCACCCTGGCCTGGAGGGAGGCATGCGTGGGGCAGAGTGAGGCCAGGACTCCCGCTCAGGTCTGGGCCCTTCCTGCTCTTGGCCCTGGTGAGCCGCCCGCAAGCTCTGGCTGTTGGGGCCCACCCTGTGCCACCTCCTGCCCCAACTGCTGCAACCTCTGTGCCCTGCGCAGGCACTGGCCACCGAGTGCTGCGTCCCCCCCCCCCCCAGACTCCTGCCTGCAGATTTAGGGGGAATGACCCTACCGAAGGCTTAATCATGTTTTTGTTGCTTTGGTCAAATAATGTTGGGGCTTTTCTGAATTCTAGACAAATCTATGTCCTTCTAGAGTCTCTAGAAACCACAACAGGCACGAAGGGGACAGTTCTCCAGAGACCAGCCCTCTGTGCACGCGCGGGTGCCTGTGCAGCTGCGTGCGGGTGTGCACGGGCACAAGTGCGTGCCGGTGCAGGTGCGGGTATCCATGGGTCGGGGTGTGTGAGTACAGTGGTGTTCAGGTGAGGGCGTGGTGGGTGTGTGGGTGGGGTGCACGGGTGTGGGGTGCGTGGGTACAAGGGTGTGCAGGTGTGAGGGGTGCGGGCGCATGGGTGTATGCACTCACCACATCTTGGATGGGGTCCCCTGATGTGCAGCCTGCAGCCTGCCCTTCTCAGCTCCAGCATCTGCTCTGGTGTCCTCACCCGTGAGGGCTTTAAAAAGGGCTTTAAAATGACTGCAGAGCCGGACCTCCCTGGTGGCGCAGGGGTTAAGTCTCAGCACTATGAAGCTATCAGCAGCCCCTGCAGCACGAGTTCCATCCCCTGCCAAGGAGCTACCCACAGGGCACCGCAGATCTCGCCTGTCTCCCCGCTGCTGCCCTCAGCAGTGTATTTCAGTCGATCCGCCTGTTCTGTTCCCCACCCTATCTCTGGGGAGTCCTCTCACCCCCGAATCTCTGGCCTGCACCCCAGCTCTTGTGTGCAGAAATAAAGTAAATCTTTAAAAAAAGAATAAAACGACTGCAGTGTCCCCACCTGTGTGTGAGCCAGACCAACTGAACCAACACCCTATGTTGGTCAGTTCCAAGTGCTCTTCTACACGTGCTGTGAATGACGACTTCGTCCCTCGCTCTCCATGTAAAGGTCATCTGTCTGCCGTCGCACCGGGGCCCCACAGGACTCGCATTCTGTCAGTCACTCAGACTCCTGCCATCATTTCTTTGGGGTAAACCCTGCAAGTGACAAAGCGCCCGCTTTAAGGCTTTGCTGTGCCCGAGTTTTCTTGCAGAAAGCACCTCCTGTGGCGCCTGCTGCATCCCCTCCTTCCCGCCCGCGCGGGTGGGCTCTTTCTTACTCTTTCCCAATGAGATCAGTGAAACACCGGCCCCTCTTTTTAATTTATATTCTTGACTTATTAGTGAATTCAAACTTTTTATTTGGGTACTTGTGTGCCTATTTTTAGCTTCTTTCTGCTGCGTCCCCTGGTCTGTGTTCTGGTTTTGGGGCGCGATAGAGCTGCTTGCCCACAGGGGTGTCCCCCGCGCAGATGGCGCCTGTTTCCTCTGGCCCTGATCTTATCTGGCTGCGGCGCCTTCCATCTGCTGCTCCCCACCCAGGCTGTCCGGCCGCCTCCGTGGGCTGGTTGGGAGCCGCCTGGCACGTTTGACTCACCTGCACGTCATCTCGCCCTTTCAGATTCCGGTTTTGTGCATCTGCAAGTCTGTGTCCAAACAGGTTTGGTGACTTGATTTGGGGAGCTACATGCAAGGAGATTTCAGTCCGCCCTGCTCTGCGGCCCCTCAGCCCCCCAGCTTGAGGGCTTCCAGCCTTCCCTTCTGGCCCCGGCACTGCATATGGGGAAGGGAGGGGCAGCGGGCCCTGGGTGCCGGGTACCAGAAGCTCTCCGCTTGGGATCACATCCAGAGTCAGCGAGAAGGGGCCGCGGCTGCCCTGCCCAGGCTGGCCACATGTGTTTTCGAAGCCAGGTGGACGGGGCAGGCATGAGGTGACAGAGCCCTGATGGTGGTGGAGGCTGCAGGGCTGGCACTGGCCCCTCCCTGGGCTGTTTGCTGCTGGGCCTGCTCACGGCCGCTCCCTTCAGCGGCCCCTGCCGTCCTGGGCCCGGGTGTAGGGAGTGCACCCTCTGAGCCCAGCCATACCCTGTGGCATCCTCCGGGCTGCCCTGGGCATGAGAGCACCCACAGTCCCGGCTGGAGCTCCCTCTGTGCAGAGGCTGCACCCAGAAATATTTCTTAAATGTGTCTAACTGCCCCCATCTGCAGATAATTCCCGGCCAAGCGCTACATGCATTGGGCGTGCAGAGAGCAGCTCTGTACCCCTCGCCACCAAGAGGGCTGACGCTGCTCACATTAAATCAACAAGACAGCTGCATGCCAGGGAGCTCTGCGGAGCTGCCCGGGGCCTTGCTCCTTCCCGTGCGTGCTGTGGGCCCTAGTGGACCAGGAGGCGGCTCCTGTCCCTGGATGAGCCCTGGAAGCCAGGTGTGGTGTCCAATCCCTGAGTAACGTGGGCCGGACACTCGGACATCTGGGTCTAGAGCTTGGAGCAGCAGCTGGAGGTCAGGTCTGGTGCTTCAGGGGAAGAAGTTCTGTCTGTCCCGCGTGGGGCAGTGGGGCCATGTCCGTCTCCAGTCGTCCTTCTTGCGAGTCTGACTACACCTGCCCATCCCTATGCTCACTGAGTGGCCAGTGCATGCTAGCAGAGCATGGAGCAAGCCGGACAGCTACTGGCCCCACCATAAAAGCTTAGGGCTTGGTGGTGGTAGGGGCTGGCCAGCAGATGGGTGGGGCCGGGCGGCGGGCGCCCTGCCAGGTATCCTGGTGTCACTGAATGCGCAGGCCCTGGCACCTTGGAGTCGGTCTGGCCGCTCGCCCGCTCCAAAGACCCGCCCCTGTGCCTGGACCCCAGGACTCGCTCCGTCCTCTGGCATCAGCACTGGCCAGGCCTGCCCAGCTGCTCTGAGACGGCCGCGCTCCCCTGGCTACGTCTAGAAGCAGCTGGACTATGTTGATGCTCCTCCCTGGGGCTCTGCCGGCCTCACCGTGGTGGGCAGGAGGCTGGCCCCAGCGGTGGCTGCCCCCGGAGTGCCCGGCATCTGTAGTGGCCACCCGGGCCTGGACACAGCTGCCGCATGGCTCAATGCACCCTGGCGAGAAGCCACCTTCTCAGGAAGCTGCTCCAGACCCCATGCAGTCTCTCCTCTTGGGGCTCAGGTCTGGCAGCAAAGGACACACGGGCAGGCCAGAGCGGGATGGTGCGGCTCGACCAGGAGGTGCCCTCGGGGACAGAGGCTGACACCCCGCAGGGCCATGTGCTGAGCCCCTCGGGGACCTCCCTGCCCTGCTGCCACAGCCCGAGTCTTTGGAAGGGCTCCCTGCCCCCAGGAGCGCTGGGCTGAGCAGTGGGGAGCAAAAGCTGGAAGGAGGCTGGGGGAGGCACGGAGCAGAGAGACGGAGAAGAGCTGCGCTGGCTCTCGGCCTTGCACGTGCACCAGGGCCACGGGGCCATGGGGAGGTGACTGCGGCAGCCTTTGCCTTGTTCTTGCTCCTTCCTCCCAGGCTTGCCTGGCCCCTTTCCTGTGGGCCCCCAGAAGGTGCCTTGGACTGTGGCAGGGTCCAGGCCCCCCACAGCCTGCTCTGGGCCCTGCCTGGGCTGCACGGGTCACGCCTGCGACTCCGGTCAGCTCGCATTTGGCGGCCATTTCTCCTCCGCTGGGGCTGTTGCTCGGGTGCCTGTTCTTCGCAGCAGTTGCAGCAGCAGCGCAGCCTCCTTGCAGGCTCAGCCGGGCCCACAGGGCGTCCGCACGGGCACTGCTTTTCCTCTGCGTGGCCGGAGGCAGCCGTGTGCCCGGCCACTCTCCTAGCCAGCTCCGCAGGAGCCCCCGCTGCTCCCCTGGCATGGGAGGGACTCCTAAAGGGCTCGTGGGCCCAGGCTCCCTCCATCCACCTCACGCAGCTCCCCGCCTTGCTGTGCCTGCCGTGCATGCGAAACAGGCCTCCCCGGCTCCTCCGTGGTCCTCAGAATCCTGCAGATGTCCCTCTCCTCTTTGAGCTTGTGTTTCCGTCACGCTCCTGCAGAGGGTTCACCCCTAATCTCTTACAATCCACACCGGATTCCCTGTGCCCTCTGCGCAGCGGGCATGGGTGGGCACAGTGATGGAGCCACAGGCTCCGCAGGCGAGGGGCCGGGTGCGCGGGACAGGCCGGTGCGTTATGAGGGGGGCTCCTGGGCGGCCAACGGCCAGGGCTGTGGCCTTCATGTTCTGTGTGTTTCCCAGTTTAAAATGAATTGATAAACATGAAACTGGTTTTACAGTGAAAGTTTCTAGGCTGGATGGTGATAACCATTAGGTCACAAGTGGAGCACAGTGACAGGGCCGGGAAAGCAGTGGCGGGCCAGGTCGGGGCCAGCAGGGTGGGCCTGGATGCGCCCCTCCCTCCACGCAGGGCCTCCTGGTTCTGAGGTCCCGGCTTGCCACGCTCCCAGCTGGGCCCAAGGGGAGCAGCCGACAGGCTGTCGGCACAGCGTGGCCCCTGCTGGCTGGCTCACCAGTTCAGGAGCTTTCCATGTTGTCAAAAGCAAAGCAAAGAACTGAAAAGCTCCTGAGTTGCCAGAGGTGCCCACGGCTCAGCCGGTGGGCAGCGGAGGTGACGGCCCGGCAGCCCCTCGTGCAGAGACGCTGTTTGGGCTCAGCAGAAACACAGAGTGGGCGCCCCCGACGGGGCTCTTCCTAAAACAGCACTTTTGTCACAGAGGGACCCAAACCTACACCTGCACGGAGACCGTCAAAAGCGGATCTGTGTCCTCTGAACAAGCTCGACCCGGAACTGAGGCTCTTAGAGGAAAACACAGGGGACGCTCGGCCTTGCTGGGCCGTGTCTCGGCTGTGGTGCCAGGTGCAGAGGAACAAAAGGAAAAAGGGACAGGAAGCTCCATGCATTGCGACGAGCCCACAGCGGGGCAGGGCTGCGCCACGTGCCAGCCAACAGTCCCGGGCGCTCAGCAGGCCCCTCCCGACACTGCCCAGGTCCCACTGACACGAAGACAACAGCCTAGCGAAGAGCCTGTTTTCTGGTCCCCTTTGTCATGTCTGGTTTTGCGCAAACTCACAGCTTCCAAGAGCAGGTCCCCGCCGTCCAACGGGCAATGACTGTTGTGGCGACAGCCTGAAGCTCAACAACGAAAGAAGTCCCCCGGCCAGGCTGGGCAGGGTCCGGGCAGGCGCTGCAGGCTCCGCGGGGAGTGGAGCCGCACAGCCGCGGCCCCAGGAGCATGGAACGGGGCTGCGCCCGACCCTCAGCCACACAGGACAGCAGCAGCCGGACCTGCAGAGGGCCTGCCAGGCCACAGCTGCTCTCTTCACGGTGCGACCGTGTGGACGCCCCGCGGGGTCACTCCCTGGAGGGAAGGCCGCCCCAGCCCTGCCACATGTGGGTCAGCGGGGACCCTGAGCCCAGCCCAGACGGCAGCCCTGGGCCTTCATGCAGGGCCGTGGGCGTCACTGAGGGTGCCCAGGGCTGGGCAGGGAGGAGCACTTAGGGCAGTTATGACGATAAATGCTGAGTCGTGTGTGCTGGAAGAAGCCCGAAGGGCGGCTCAGTCATGCTCAGTCTTGCTTGTCTGGCGGCCGCGCTGACCACTCACCAACACGGAGGCGGCTTTGTGCCAGGAGTGCCGGGTCCACTCACAGCAACATGCTGAGGGGTGTTCTGAGGGACGTTATTGGAAGAACCGAGAAGCAAAGGGGGACACGTTGCGCATCAGTGAGCCAGTGCCGGCCTGGCCCGTGGGGACCGCGCCGTGTCTACCTTGAGGGCCTTCAATGTGGACAGACACAGAGAGCGAGCCCCTCTGTGGTCCCTCCTGCCACACGCTCCTCATGTTCGGCTACGGCACGGGCAGCCCATCGAGCTAGCCTCCTCGGCGCTGGCCTGTCCAGGGTGTGGGCTGGGAGGTGAGGCTGGTGGCAAATGCAGCAAAACTGGAGATTCACGGGCTGCCTGAATCTGCCAAGATCACACCAGGCCCACATGAGGCCACCCGCGCCCAGGGCGAGGGTGGGGAGGCCTGCGAGGGGCCCGGCCTGGCCCCCGATGTTGGAGCCGCTCACTGCGTGGCGCCCAACAGCGCGATGACTTTCTGCAGACGTGGACGCTTTGGCCTGCAGCTTGGCTGCCCGCACACGGGCTGCACTGACACTCACACTGTCCTGCCTGGCAAATCAGGCTGAGCCAGCCAGGGTGACCGCTCCCTGCAGCTCAGGCCAGAGGCTGCCCCGGATGGGAGGCCTACCCTGGGGTGCCCGTGCTGCCCGGCTCCAGGCTCCCTGCCGCGTCTCCCAGCAGCCCCTCGTCCTCCCAGTTTTCTTCCACCCCGGCCCCTTCCCACGCAGCCTTCAGCTGCAAATGGTGCGGGACTGGCCGGGCCCTCGGGAGAGGTCCGGGGACCTCAGCTGGCCCTCCCCCGGCCAGCTGGGCTCGCCCTGGGCAGGCGTCCCTCCTCGCACGCGGGGGCCACCTGCCCTGCGTCCCTCCTCGCGCGGGGCCACCTGCCCGGTGTCAGGTGTGGTGCCTTTCCCGGGCCTGCCGGGCCCTGGACCTGGGGGGTGGGGCCAGGGCGCCTGGGCTGCCGCTGACCCCCCTCTCGCCTGCAGTTCGGGGCCGAATTCCGGAGGTTCTCCCTGGACCGCCACAGGCCGGGGAAGTTCGAGGACTTCTACCGGCTGGTCGTGCGCACGCACCGCCTCTCCAACGCCGACGTGGCCATCGGCTACGCGGACGTGCACGGCGACCTGCTGCCCATCAACAACGACGACAACTTCTGCAAGGCCGTGTCCAGCGCCAGCCCCCTGCTCAGGGTCTTCATCCAGAGGCGAGGTAGGCGCGCGGGGGGCGCGGGGGGCGCGGGGGGGGGGCGGGGGCGGGGCGGGGCGGCTCCCCCTCCCGCCCGCGGCCTCGCTCGGGGCCGCTCGCCAGACCCTCGGCCCCGAGCGCTGCTCCGCCGGGACGGGGTGAGGGCGGGTCCACCTAGTTCGGTCAACGTTAAATTTTTTAGAAAAGGTTAAAAATATCTAAATATTTTCACCTGTCCCACCTTCACTCGCGCTCGTTGACTCCGAGGCTCCGGAGACGCGGATCCCTCAGTGTTTCCACCGGAAGCCGCGGCCGGAGGAGGGGCGGCCGGGCTGTCCGGGGCGCCGGGCTGTCCGGGCGCCGTCCCCGCCCCGCCCCCGCCCCCCGCCCCCGCCCCCCGCGGCGGCCTTCGCGGGCGGGACGTGGAGCCCGCGCGGGGGCTGTGCTGGCCCGAGCCAGGGCCCTGCGGGTCCGCGCGGCGTCCCCGGCTGCCCGCCCCGCCCCCCGCCGCTGACCACCCCGGCCGAGGGCCCCGGCGCTGACCACCGCCGGCTGAGGGCCCCGCGAGCGCTGACCACCCCCGGGGCCCCGCGAGCGCTGACCACCGGCGGGCCCCGCGAGCGCTGACCACCCCCGGCCCAGGGCCCCGCGAGCGCTGACCACCCCCGGCCCAGGGCCCCGCGAGCGCTGACCACCCCCGGCCCAGGGCCCCGCGAGCGCTGACCACCCCCGGCCGAGGGCCCCGCGAGCGCTGACCACCCCCGGCCGAGGGCCCCGCGAGCGCTGACCACCCCCGGCCCAGGGCCCCGCGAGCGCTGACCACCCCCGGCCCAGGGCCCCGCGAGCGCTGACCACCCCCGGCCGAGGGCCCCGCGAGCGCTGACCACCCCCGGCCCAGGGCCCCGCGAGCGCTGACCACCCCCGGCCCAGGGCCCCGCGAGCGCTGACCACCCCCGGCCCAGGGCCCCGCGAGCGCTGACCACCCCCGGCCGAGGGCCCCGCGAGCGCTGACCACCCCCGGCCCAGGGCCCCGCGAGCGCTGACCACCCCCGGCCCAGGGCCCCGCGAGCGCTGACCACCCCCGGCCGAGGGCCCCGCGAGCGCTGACCACCCCCGGCCGAGGGCCCCGCGAGCGCTGACCACCCCCGGCCCAGGGCCCCGCGAGCGCTGACCACCCCCGGCCCAGGGCCCCGCGAGCGCTGACCACCCCCGGCCGAGGGCCCCGCGAGCGCTGACCACCCCCGGCCCAGGGCCCCGCGAGCGCTGACCACCCCCGGCCCAGGGCCCCGCGAGCGCTGACCACCCCCGGCCGAGGGCCCCGCGAGCGCTGACCACCCCCGGCCCAGGGCCCCGCGAGCGCTGACCACCCCCGGCCCAGGGCCCCGCGAGCACGGCCGAGGCGCGGGCGCTGCCGCGCGTCCTCCCTGGGCTGGGCCCGGCGGCTCCGGGAGCGGGCCCTGAGCAGAGGTGGGGTCCCGGGAGCCCCAGGGTGGGGCGGGCCGCTGCTGGTGGCCGCGCTCCCGGGCAGCCCTTCTGGCCGCGTGTTTTGGCGGGGGGCGGCGGGGGGCGCGGGCGCCGCGGACCCCACCTTGGCGCGGGCTCTGGCACCCCTCAGACCCCCGCCTTGCGGGCCTCGGCCTCCCGGGGCCGCCCCGCCCTCGGGCCTCGGCCCGTGGCCCTCTCTGCCGCCATCCCTCGGCGCTGGACCCGCCGCCCTGCCTGCCAGCCGGCGACGGTGGGGGCGCGGGGCCGCGGGGCGGGGGCCACGGGGGGGGCTGTGCCGTCTGTGTTGGGGCCCTTCTGCGCGGGCCGGGGCTCCCCGCCGGCCTCTGCCCCGGGGCGCTGGGCATCTGCGGCCGGGCCGGGCTGGGGCGCGCAGGCGGCGCGGGGCCTGGAGCCCGGCCGGGAGCCCGGAGCCCGCGCAGACCGACCTCCCTGCGCCCTCGCGGGGTGGCCCTGCCCCCCTCGCCCGGCCGGCCGGGCTCTGTCCTCTCTGAGCCGGGCCTTCAGTTCTGTGGGCGCTCATTCCGAGAGGTCACGCAGCGAGCTGTTTTTGGGGTTTCCCTCGGCAGCCTCGGGGAAGGCAGCGGGTTGGGGAGGACGCGCCGCCGCTGGGGTCCGGCGGGCTGGCCGTGGGGACCCTGCCCCACTGCGCGGCCCCAGCTCCCGCCCGCGCTGTCCTCGCGCCTTCCAGCCGGCTCCCCGGCGGCCTTTCCGGGCGCCCCCGCGGGCCCTTCCGTGGCTCCGGGCCTGCCCGGCGAGGGCGGTCAGCTCGTCGGGCGCGCTTTCCGGCCCGGTCCTCTGCGGGGCCCTGGGGAGCCCCGGCCGAGCGTCTCCCGCGGGGCGCAGGGGGCGCAGTGTTCTGCCTCTTCGGGTGCTGCGCTGAGCGGTGCCTCGGCCCGAGTGCGGGGGGGCTCCTGGGGAAGCCCGCAGGCCCCCGACTTTCCTCTGTGGACAGACTGTCGGGTACTTCTGCGCTTCTTACTGGCTCTAGGTCTGTTCAGATTCTGTCCTTCATCTTGGCAGGGTCTGTGCTTCTAGACTCGCCCCCTTTCATCCCGGGCACCTGCTCTGTGGGCACCCGCCGGCTGCCCCTCCGGCCCTCTGGCCCCTGGTGTAGGCCTGGGCCACCCGCTGCGCCCGAGGTCCGTGGCCCGAGTCCCCCCTTTCTCCCCGGCGCCTGTAGCCCAAGCGCTCGACTCTGATGGTGCTTTTGAGGAATGGCCTTTCCTTGATTCACTGATTTTCTTTGTTGTTTTTCTCCTTATTTCATTTATCTCTGCTCGAAACACGAGTTGCTTCCTTCCACTAGCTCTGGGCTTTGTTCTTTTTTTAGCTCCTTCAGTTACCGAGTTGGGTCACAGTTAAGACGGTCCCTGCTGTTAATGTAAGCACTTATGGGTCCAAATGCCCCCTCGGGACTGAGCCCGCAGCACCCTGTGGCTTTGGGATGCCTTGCCTTTTATTCTCATCTGCGTGTTTTCTGTCCCCCTTGTAACGTGTCCTCGGAGCCTCTGGCTGTGAAACGTGGTCGTGGCCCGACCCCGGCCTGTCCCAGAACGGAGGTGACGCGTGTCCCTGGCCGGGGCACTCCGTGAGCATCTGCTGGGTCTCGCTGGTTTATTGTGTCAAGTCCTCAATTTCCTCATCTCGTGTCGCGTCGTCTGTCACTAGGAGTGTGACTCTGGAGTCTCGGGCTCTTACAGGATGTCTGTCTGTCCCTTTGATTCTGCTGGTTTTTGCTTCCTGTGTGTTTATTGTGTTAGGTGCATAAATGCTTAAAATTGTTACATCTTCTTGCTGTGTTGAAACTTTTATTTAAAGTCTATCTGTCGGGGCCTCCCCGGTGGCGCAGCGCTGGGTTGCGAAGCTGCCCGCGGCCTCTGAGGCGCGGGTTCGATCCCCGGCTGCTCCCCGGCCACCAGAGGAGGGTCCCGCATGGCGCGCAGACCTCTCCTGCCGCCCGCTGCTCCCCTCAGCAGTGTCCTTCGGGCCTTCTGCCTGCTCTGCTCCCCGCTCTGGCTCTGGTGGGTTCTCTCACCCTCCCGCGCTTCTGACTGTACCCAGTGCTTGTATAAATAAATCTTGAAAAATAAAAAAATAAAGTCTGTCAGCACAGCTCCACCCCCTGGGCTGGGGTCTGCCTCCCACCCCTCACTGCCAGCCTGTTTGTGTCTTTTCACCCAAGTCTCTTTGAGAAGAAGCGAAATTGGGTCATGTATCTTTATCCATTCTGCCAGTCTCTGTCTTTTGATTGAAGAGTTTAATTCTCTTACATTTAAAGCAGTTACGGGTAAGGAGGTGCTCGCTTCTGCCCTGTGCGACTTGTTTTCCAGATGCCATATAGCTGCTGTTCCTCGCTCCCTGCATTCCTGTCTTCTCTTCTGTTTATTGAGTTTTTCAATAATGAAATGTTCTCTCTCATTTCCTTCTGTATCTGTTCTACAGCTGTTTTCCCCGTGGTTACCATGGGAACGTTTCCCATCCTAAAGCTGTGACTCTGATGAGTCTAACACAGCCCCTGCCCTTCCGTCCCAGCGAGTGCAGGTGCTGGGCTGGGCCACGCCTCCCCCACAGGGTGCCGAAAACATACTGATGGTTCTTTTCAATGCAATAGTCCTCTAAATTTGCGGAAAACAAGATTTGGATTTACAAATCAAGTTACAGTAATGCTACTTTCACTTTAAAAGTTGTGTTTTCTTCATGTATTCATTTCTTAGAACACAGAGAAGGCAGCATTTCCCGGCTTCACGCTCACTGCACCTGGTCTGTGGCCTCAGGAGCGGCCACCCGTGTCCTTTTCTGCCACTGGCTGCCACGAAGCATTCCTTGTAGGCACATGGTCACAAAGCCCCTCAATTTTTATCTATTTGGGAGTGTCTTGATATCTCCCTCACTTTCAAAGGACAGTTTTGCTGGATATAAGATTGTTGGTTTTCAGTTTTTCCTTTTAGCAATTTCAACACATTGTCCTCCAAAGTTTAAGATGAGAAATCTGCAGATGATAATTTTAAGGGTCCCTTGTGTATGGCTCCTCTCTTTCTGCTGCTCTTAAGATCTGTCTTTGTTGTTTGGAAGTCTGACTGCCAGTGTTTGGGCTGCACAGCAACCTGGGTCTCCCCGGGTGTGTCGTCTTCCCTTGCATCTGGGGACCTGCCCCCAGCTCCCCCTCTGCTTCTCTCTGCGCCTCTCTCTCCCTCCTGCCCAGGCTCTGTGGGGTGTGCTGGGCTGCTGGCCCGGGCGCCCGGATCTGTTTGCTCTCCTCCATCCTGTGCCTTCTTCCCTCAGCCTCGACGGTGTCCACTGCCCTGCCCTGAGGTCCCTACTCTCCTTCAGATCTGCCTTTGGCTCCTTTTAGTAAACTCGTGGGAGTCTGTCCTTTACTGCTTGGTTTCCGTTTCGTTTCTTTCTGGATTTTCTTGTCTTTGTTGATATTCTTGCTCGGCTTAGAAGTCATTTTTTAACTTTTTCCACATCTTCTTTATTTTTGATTATGTTCAAGATGGTGTTTTTAACCTTGGTCT